CACAACTAAGATTGAAGGACAACAACTTGACTTGGAGCTGATGGGTCATGGAAAAACACAATGTTCCCTTCCCCAATTCTCCAATAAAATCTTTATTTTAAAAACAAAAAGCAAAATGCTGTTTTCAAAGTGGTTGCAATATTGTCCATTCCCACCAGCAGCGTATGAGCGTTCCAGTTCCTCCACCTCCTTACCAACACTTGGTATGATCTGTCTTTTTAAGTTTAGTCATACTGACAGGTGTGTGGCAATATTTCCTCTGTGGGTTTTTTTTCCACAAATAAGTGTGGTTTATGAATAAGTTTAAAGCATTCTGAATGAATACAGTTAAGATTTCCTATCAATGAGGTAATAAGGCAATAACTTTTGACAGAAACAAAATTTGGCAGGCACCTAAGGAGAGAGGGAGGGAGAAATAGGCATAAAGTTAAGTCTATCCAAGCAGAATTTGGATTTTCAAGCATCACAACATCAGTGGAAAACATCTGAAAGAAATGCCAACAGCGGCCGTTCACAGAACAATCTCTCCATGCAACTCCAGCTAATACCTTTGCTGCCTCGATTCTAGCAGCCACCTGCTTAAGAAGTAGGGGGTCTGTTTTCTGTGTAAAGATAGCCCAGGTATCTGAGCTCTCGGAACCTCTGAAGTTACTACATCCAAATAACAGCAGATTTAAAACAGACCCCTCAAATGTCCTATCTCGCCGCACAATCTTCAAGATGAACGAAACGTGTTCAAGCTAAGTTAGAAATGACATCCAATCTTCACTGCACTCACGAATCTGCCACACAAACGTGTGGAATGAACCATCTTGTGAGCTAAGTTGTTCTGGATGCAAAGTGAGGCTCAGAGTGGTACTTTAAGTGCATTTTTTGACATCATTGTTCCAACCTGAGTTTTCAAAAACAAGTGTTGGAAGGAACCATAAAAAAAGAGACTCAAAAACAGGAACCCAGACACTTGGACATCCATGTTCACAGCAGCAGTATTCACAACAGCCAAAAAGTGGAAACAATCCATGTGTCCACCAACAGACGATGGATAAAAAAAATGTTGTAGCGATATGATGGGATGTTACTCAGCCCTAAAAATGAAGGATGTTCTGACACAGGCTACAACATGGATGACCCCTGAAAACATTCTAAGTGAAATAAGCCAGACACAAAAGGACAAATGTTGTATGATTCCAAGTATATGAGGCACTTTGAATGGGAACTTCATAGAGACAGGTGTGGGCTGAAGGGTACTGAAGCCCAGAAGTGGAGGGCACAATGGGCAGCTATTGCCTAATGGTTAGGGTTTCTGTTTGGGGTCGTGAGACAGTTCTGGAACTGATGGCGATGGGAACACAACATTGTGTGTGTTCTCAATGCCACTGAAATGCACACTTAAAAAT